GTACAATGTGAGCACAGTCAGAAGACTACTGGACAAATCTGCTTCAATATCTTGAGTTTTTTTGCTGTGGAAGGCAGAGCATTTATGAGTATTGCCCAGTGTGATATAATGTTGTTTTCAAATTTGTAATTTTCTGCTTGGGTTTCAGTGCTCCATGTTTGTTGGGGGGGGGGGGGGGGGGGTGGCTAGAATAGACCCACTGTCCCCCTAACAGGCAACTAATCAGGAATGTTTCCTTCAGGTTCTGGGTGTGGCTTCTTAAGAGACAAGGAACCAACAGTCTGCATGCAGATAAGTCAGCTGTGTAAAATAGAGGTACATGCAAAACTCATGTTCTGGTACAAAAGTCCAGAAGTGGACAAACAACCAGAACTTTCTGTTCCAGTTTAGAGCCAGTGAATGCACTAAGAGAAGGACACATGTTTTGGCAAAGGTTAAGGGTCGTTGCCTTCTTTAGAGATGGAAAGCAGAGAAAGATTAAAGAAAGTAGTAACCTTTTATGGTTTAACTGCTTTTTCTGTTCTTCTCTCAACATAAACTGTTTATGTGTTTTATCATGCATACAGTGCATATTAATAAAAACATGTTATACTGTCTGGTATGATCATTGAGTTTCTGTCAGGACTTCATTGCCGTTTGCCTGAAAACTTCTGTATTTCCTAAATAAGCTAAGGACAATATTTGATCATTCTGAATATGTTTTTGTTTTAAGTATCCTCAATCTTATTAGACATTTATTTATTGCTCAGTTGTTTGTCTCTTAATCTATTTTTCTTTTTTTGTATTCCTTTTTTTTTTTTTTTTTTTTACAAATAATGATTCATTTGGTGTTTTTGCTGCTTGTTCTTTATGTTTACCAAGTTACACAATGCAACAGATACTTAAACAGAAGATTCTTATATTTATCTTCCCTCTTTCTTTCCATCCCTCCTTCTCTCCCCCCCCCCCTCTCTCTCTCCTCTCTCTCTCTCTCTCTCTCTCTCTCTTTCTCTTATTTTTTTTCTGTTTCCTTCTCAACACTTCACTTAGTTAACTGGTTCAAGAAATAAAAGAATGACTTTATATTTGAAGGTTTATAAGTTATTATGCCGTAACTGTGAGACACAGCTCACAAGTTCTGACTGATAAAATCACGGACGTAGCTACAGAATTTGTCTCTTGCAGAAACCACAATATTGAGAATCGATCACATTTTCTTATTTTGCCAGTTAATGCAATGAACATTTCTTGTGATTTTTGTTACTCTATTTTTTTGTTTACTCACATGCAAAGCTTTTATTTCCCTAGATAAAGGGTGCTGATACTTTTCACAGTTTCTCAGTAAGGTGCAGGTACTCACCAGTGTCTTAAACAGGTGCCGGTGCTCACCGTAAATTGTTTTTTACATTAGCACTGAAAGAAAATGGCAAAAAAGGGGCCGATATTGTGAATTGTCTGAAGAAAAAAACTGATTACAAACACTTTCTTCCACTTTAATTTGTTTTTTTTTTCTTTAGTTTTTTTTCTCTTTTTCGTAATTATCTATACTGCTGAACTGTTGTAGATGTCAAAAGTTCAAACCTTGATATTTGTATCTAGTTTGTACAAGTTTAACGCAACACAGGTTGGAAACAGGGAAATTTATTTTTGCACTGGTAATTGATAAAGTGCTGAAAATTTGGTTGTTTGCAGTTTCTAAAATTGTGTTTGGGGAAATATGTAAAGATATATAAAAGGATTAATCGTTAAACAAGAACAGTGTGAAGCATTAAATGGAATGTATTCAGTGTAGCCAGAATCAGTTGAATCATGTCGTGACCTCTAGCACTGAGGCTTACAGAAACATTGTAAGACAACCTGGCTTTAAATAGAGGCCATTGAGGTTACAAAAAAAGGTCAGCTAGTACCCGTCGATATCATCACAAAGAGATCTGGATCACACCAGAACCAAAAACCACAATCACCGCAGCACAGCAAGGAAGCAAACAACCCTAATATCAGGTGTGACTACACACCACAAATAAAAGGAAACCATATAAGACAGCTAAGGAACCTTCTTCGATATAGCAGGCCTCCGGGCGGCTGAAAGAGGATCAAATTTTGAATTTTTGTTGGACAAATTGGAATTGGAATTACAGGGAAACCCCATCTAATTGCTATATTTAGTTAGTATATTCACATGGGAACACTGCGCAGATGCTCATAGAACCAGTGGCATTTAACTATGCTTTTTGAGGGTAGGTTGCTGCAGAAATGGTCATATATCAGCATTTATGGGATTGTGTCACAACTGGAAGTGGCAAGATTTAGCTTTCTTGGGGCGAAAGGATTAAAAGTGGACACAGATAAAGGAGAGGCTCAAAACTGGTATCCAGTTTCTGGTGCATTAAAATTCCCAGCTCTCACATGAGTCTAAAAGTGTTTGATGAATTTCTGATGTTGTGGAAAATTGATTGCAACCTGTGCCATTTGTGGATTCAGCTGGCAGCCACATTTCAGCAACCTGTGCCAATAGTGGATTCAGCTAACTGCCACATTTCAGCAACCTGTGCCAATAGTGGATTCAGCTGGCTGCCACATTTCAGCAACCTGTGCCAATAGTGGATTCAGCTGGCTGCCACATTTCAGCAACCTGTGCCAATAGTGGATTCAGCTGGCTGTCACATTTCAGCGCTCAGTGAAGCGTTTGTCCATTTACAGTAAACAGTTTATGCTCATGGAATTATAATTTAAAGTAGCACTGAAGTGATTAGTAAATGCTTTATGTTAACCCCCCCCCCCCCCCCCCCCCCCCCCCCCCCCCCCCCCCCCCCCCCCCCCCCCCCCCCCCCCCCCCCCCAAATACAAGTGTGTCTTTAGTCTGTAAAATTTGGTATTATTTTCATGTGGATGTTTAATGTCAAGTTATATGCTGTTGTTGTTATACTTAGAGACATGTGTCTTATAAGTTTTGACGAGATAAAATGTTGGATTATCTGTTTCTGCTGTAGCTTGTAGAGATGTCTTTTGCCTAAGTTTTGACTTTATATAAAATTATGGGTGATCATATCTTGCTGTAGCATTTAGAGATGTGTGTTGTGTAGTTGTTGACTTTAGATAAATTGTTGGGTTATCTGCTCTTATTTTAGCATTTAGAGATGTTGACTTTAGATAAATTGTTGGAGATAAATTGTTAGATTATCTGCTCTTATATTTGCATTTAGAGATGTCTATTGTATAAGTGTTGACTTCAGATAAATTGTTGGGTTATCTGCTCCTGCTGTTCACTTTTAAAAATATGTATTGTGCAAGTGTTGACTTTAGATAAAGTGTTGGAGTTATCTACGCCTGCTGTAGTATTTTAAGACGTGCACTGTATGTGTGTTAACTTTAGATAAGTGATGTGTAAAGAGATTTGTATCGTGTAAGTGTTGACTTAAGGTACAATGCTGGGCTATCTTCTCCTGCTGTTGTACTTTAAAAATGTGTATAAAAGTTGACTTCAGGTAGAGTGTTAGCCACACCTGCTGTTGTACTTTAGAAATGTGTATAAAAGTTGACTTCAAGTAGAGTGTTAGCCACACCTGCTGTTGTACTTTAGAAATGTGTATAAAAGTTGACTTCAGGTAGAGTGTTAGCCACACCTGCTGTTGTACTTTAGAAATGTGTATAAAAGTTGACTTCAGGTAGAGTGTTAGCCACACCTGCTGTTGAACTTTAGAAATGTGTATAAAAGTTGACTTCAGGTAGAGTGTTAGCCACACCTGCTGTTGTACTTTAGAAATGTGTATAAAAGTTGACTTCAGGTAGAGTGTTAGCCTCACCTGCTGTTGTACTTTAGAAATGTGTATAAAAGTTGACTTCAGGTAGAATGTTAGCCACACCTGCTGTAGAACTTTAGAAATGTGTATAAAAGTTGACTTCAGGTAGAGTGTTAGCCACACCTGCTGTTGTACTTTAGAAATGTGTATAAAAGTTGACTTCAGGTAGAGTGTTAGCCACACCTGCTGTTGTACTTTAGAAATGTGTATAAAAGTTGACTTCAGGTAGAGTGTTAGCCACACCTGCTGTTGTACTTTAGAAATGTGTATAAAAGTTGACTTCAGGTAGAGTGTTAGCCACACCTGCTGTAGAACTTTAGAAATGTGTATAAAAGTTGACTTCAGGTAGAGTGTTAGCCACACCTGCTGTTGTACTTTAGAAATGTGTATAAAAGTTGACTTCAGATAGAGTGTTAGCCACACCTGCTGTTGTACTTTAGAAATGTGTATAAAAGTTGACTTCAGGTAGAGTGTTAGCCACAGCTGCTGTTGTACTTTAGAAATGTGTATAAAAGTTGACTTCAGGTAGAGTGTTAGCCACACCTGCTGTTGTACTTTAGAAATGTGTATAAAAGTTGACTTCAGGTAGAGTGTTAGCCACACCTGCTGTTGAACTTTAGAAATGTGTATAAAAGTTGACTTCAGGTAGAGTGTTAGCCACACCTGCTGTTGTACTTTAGAAATGTGTATACAAGTTGACTTCAGGTAGAGTGTTAGCCACACCTGCTGTTGTACTTTAGAAATGTGTATAAAAGTTGACTTCAGGTAGAGTGTTAGCCACACCTGCTGTTGTACTTTAGAAATGTGTATAAAAGTTGACTTCAGGTAGAGTGTTAGCCACACCTGCTGTTGTACTTTAGAAATGTGTATAAAAGATGACTTCAGGTAGAGTGTTAGCCACACCTGCTGTTGAATGTTAGCATTTGTTGAAATACATCCACAGCTAGTTAAGAGTCAAATACCTGTGTGGCCTGGACTTAAGAAACTGATGTATGAAATAGCTGAAGAAAATCTGATGTGAACGGAGCTGGTTTAACTTAATAAATGTCACAATTGATAGCTGTCACTTTAGACAGCTGCAGAGACCTCAGACCTTCATGAACTGAGGCCGATCTATTGTCCTGACATTTTATGGGGTGTGCAGAATGAGAGCACTGATCTGTTGGCTTTGATAAAATATATCATTTGGGCAGTGAATCTGTACTCTGAGCAGTAGATTAAATGGTGCTTGTCAGAAATTGGACTGTAAGCAGTAATGATGACTTGGCACATCTTGAAAATTTAAACTCCAGCTTGGCACATCTCAGAAGTGTAAACTCCAACTTGGCACATGTTGGAAATTTGAACTCTTATTTGGCACATGTTGGAAATTTGAACTCCAACTTGGCACAAGTTGCAAATTTGAACTCCAGTTTCATGCTTGTTGGAAACGGAGCAGTAAATAATTTGGTGCGTGTTGGAAATTTGGCTCTGAGCAGTAATGTTAACTTGGCAGATGTTGGAAAATTTGGCTCTGAGCAGTAATGTTATCTTGGCAGATGTTGGAAATTTGGCTCTGAGCAGTAATTTTATCTTGGCAGATGTTGGAAATTTGGCTCTGAGCAGTCATGTTATCTTGGCAGATGTTGGAAATTTGGCTCTGAGCAGTAATGTTATTTTGGCAGATGTTGGAAATTTGGCTCTGAACAGTAATGTTATCTTGGCAGATGTTGGAAATTTGGCTCTGAGCAGTAATGTTATCTTGGCAGATGTTGGAAATTTGGCTCTGAGCAGTAATGCTATCTTGGCAGATGTTGGAAATTTGGCTCTGAGCAGTCATGTTATCTTGGCAGATGTTGGAAATTTGGCTCTGAGCAGTCATGTTATCTTGGCAGATGTTGGAAAATTTGGCTCTGAGCAGTCATGTTATCTTGGCAGATGTTGGAAAATTTGGCTCTGAGCAGTCATGTTATCTTGGCAGATGTTGGAAATTTGGCTCTGAGCAGTAATGTTATCTTGGCAGATGTTGGAAATTTGGCTCTGAGCAGTAATGTTATCTTGGCAGATGTTGGAAATCTGGCTCTCAGCAGTCATGTTATCTTGGCAGATGTTGGAAATTTGAACTTCAGGTTTAGCTTTAGACTACGGATCAAGATCACGGCACAAGGGTAACCAATAAGTGCTCCGTTCTACTTCTCACTCAAGCCTGAGTCCAAAAAATCTCAGCACAGTGCACGAACTTCCTTGCACCGGTGAGGATCCTAGAAAACTTTTGGGTAGATTTATAACTCCAAATTTTGCCAGGGGCAGTGCCGTTAGGCTAGCCTTTAAGATTTCCATCTGCCAAGGGATGTATTACATGTGCAACAGTACATTTCTTTTTCAGTTTGACGCATGTTGGAAATTTGAACTCCCATTTGTCACATGTTGGAAATTTAAACTCCATTTTGGCAAGTGTTGGAAATTTGAACTCTTAACTTGGAGCATGTTAGAAAAGACTTTAAAGAGCAGATAACTTGAAATTTTTTTAGAAGTAAAGGACAACTTGGTACATATTAGAAAATGTTTTCAACGGACATGTACAAATCACAGTTCAATGTTTCACTGTTCAGTCTACCATGGGGTCTTAAACTAAACTGCATGTCATTCTGATTTTCTAACAGGCATTGCACAAATGTACTGCTAATGCTGTGTTATTCAAGCAGAAGTACATTCTGGTTAGTCTGAGATTCCTGTGGTGAAACAGGCAGTGAAAGAGAAGACTTTGTGATTTGTAAATTGTAATTGAAAGGATAATTTGTAGTGTGTGTGTGTGCTTCATTAGATTTTGATGCTGGTATCCACAGTTATAAGACAAATGAAAATAGTGATTTTCTGAGCACATTATCAGGAGAAATGAGCAGAGAATCACCAAACAAGCACTTAAATGGGAAACTCATGGCTTGAGGAAACGAGGATGCCTAGCAGAACAGGGTGCTTTATTGATATCCTTCTCCAGATGACGTCACAGCACAGTCCAACATTTTAGAGGGTGGTAAGACTGGATTACCCGGCTCTCTGATGCTTTTAACGACCCCAAAACATATAGAACTGGCCCTAACCTTAACCCACCTATGTCCCACGAGAGAGTGCAGCCTAGGTCCCACAGCTGCATGCAGCCTATCTACCACCCCCTGAAATATTAAACTGTCCCGTGACCTGTGGATTTCCCCTGTTTGGGGTAGGATATTAATAAAGCACCCAAAACATCAAAGTGAACATTTATGAGAGAAGCCAAAGGTGCTGGATTTGATTCCATCTATGTGATTAAAACAGTTGCACAAGCTAGAATAGAAAACAATGGCAAACTACTGGACGTAAACTTGCCTAGAAAAACCACAACAGCCACACACAAAATGCTGGGGTTGGTTCTACAGCGTTCTGTAAAGGATACACAACTAACTTTTAACAGGATAGAATGGAGGGGAAGAATAGACTGCAAGCCCTATAAGATTTTTCACGGCACAAACAGATAATATTGATGATTATATGTTGATGTAGATTCTGCAGAATGCACCAGACAAGATACAGCTAAAGATAGCAAGCAGGGAATTGTGAATATTTTGTTTGTCTTCTTTCTGTTTAAATTCACAGCATTGGACGACATTGCTTTAAAACACAAAATTGGACAACATTGTTTTGAAATGCAGTTATTTATTTACAAATAATATGTATTTTCTATGGAGCTTGTTCATTAATGCGTTACACATATTTTTTTAAATTGCATGATTGTGTCAAAGATTTGAAAGAAAAATGAAACATCCAAAGAATATTCAAGCGATTATTTGTTTATGCTAGGCATATGTTTTTATAAACATTTGAGCCCTTCGTAAACTATGTTGGATGAAAAGGAATTTTAAGTAAAGGTTCTGTCCTTCTTCTTCTCTAGTCATGGCATCTCTTTCAGTGTCAGGTTTTGAAGAGGCATCGGGTGCGTGTCTTGATATATGCAATGTAGGTGAAGGTATTTATGGCCCTGCATATTCCATCTATCCATCGCTTGCATGGTCGACCTCTAGGCCTTCTTCCATTATGTCTGTGACAGGTTTCTCTGTGGTGCACTATCTGCTGGTAGTCTGGGTTCTTTGTGATATCATATTTTTTGATCCGTCTATTACAGTTTGGATTCTGGTAGTCTCTTCTCACTTTTACTGGGTTGCAGCCCAGTGATTTAAAATATTTGTTTTGTGCCTCTCGTTTGATTTGAGTGACAGTTTTCTGGATTTCATGGCCGTATGTACTCCATATTTTTTTTCTGTCTTCAAATATTATAGTTGGATTCATTGTGGTTGTTTCAAAATGTCTGTTGTTAGTGTCCAGGTTTGGCACAGGTAAAAGTTCTCATCCATCTTATATTTGATTTGCTTTAGCACATCATAGGTTGAGTCCAAAATTGACACCAGATATTTAAATTCACTTGTTTGTTTTAGCTTGATGTTACTTACTTGAAGTCATGTAGTGTCTGGATGTCTGCCATCAACATATGGTGCACAGAAACAATGAGGTATTAACACCATTTTTGACACATAGACAGAAACCTTTTTCTATTGAGGCAGATCTAATAAAAACTTTTTTTCCTTTTTCCTGGCGAACTCTGTGCTATCAGCGTCAAAAATTGACCTTTAACTAATGAGCACAACATCATAACGGAGATGAGGTGTCTTTAAAGAGCTGCCAGAATGGTACATTCTTTCAATCATTTACCTTTCTACGGTCTTTCTTCAGATTTCCTTAAACCTTGCTTGATCTACAAGTCTCATAGGGGAAGATTACGTCTAAAAATAAAAACATACCCCAGAGAGAAAAAATATGCCAGTTTGATTTTATTTTGATTTTACATGATTTTAAAAGGTTATTTGTTTTTTTTGGTTTTTGCGATCACATTGTGAATAAATTAATAAACTGTCATGTAAATATTCAAGTGAGCCTTAAACTATACTTGCTGTATTGCTTGTTTTTTAATGTTTTCTATTAATGATGTAATCTTAGTTAGTTAGTTAATAGACAGATTATCCTCACTGCATTTCAAACAAGTCCATAAGGGCTCAGGATCCCATCTTCAGGATATCCCTCGGCGTGTGGTGCTGTAGTTTAAATCTTTCAACCCTAAGGACAAAACAAGCTTTATTAGCTATGGATATTTTCAGCAGCAGACAAACCCACATTGGGCTACAGGTGATTGGGGGGTGCCCAACATAACTGTTGAATGGGGTTTCCAGGACTTGTAGCTGTATGCTTCTCATCTCTGAGATGGCAATCCTACACACAGCAATACAGGATGGCGAGGCTCATAGGCTGGACTCTTGCCTGCTAGGCCAAAGGTCATAGGGTTAGAGTTCCAGGAAACCCACTGTAAATCCCCCTTTCTCCAATGATGAAAGGGTTTTTGTAGATAAAGGCTTCTGCTGAAACATCCAAAATTTCGTTTTGTATGAGTATGTGTGGGTTTTTCTCCTTTCCTCTTGTGAAAAATATATGGTTATATAAAGTGTTATGTCCGTTGTAAGTATAAGTACCCTTTTCCAAGCCTTTAGGCATATTGGGCATATAGACCACATCTGCCTTGTCATGTATTAGTTCACCACCCCATGGTACAGATCCAGCCAATTTGTCTGTCTGTTCATTCCCCACCACACCGGCATTGCCTGGACAAAAGATATAAAGTAGGCTCACTACCTGTGACCCTCCCAGTGAAGTTTGCCACTCTGCTCGAAGCATTCCTGTCTTCACCTTTCTTAGCATGCATTCAGAGTCTGTTACAAATATCACGTGTATGCGTCTTGTTCTATAGCTACCGGAAAGCTGCTATTACCGCCTCTGCCTCCATTCTCATGCTAGATGTTGTGGAATTATATACTAGGCTGTCATGTTCGTTATATTGAAGCCCCACCCTGGCTGTTGCCAGGGGCTGCAGTATAGCCCGGCCATAAATATGGTCTAATGGCTGAACCCGGTTTCCAGGACCTCTTCATGGGTGATCCTCATCCACAAGGTGGCACTTTGTGTCATCGGATGTTTATCGCTTGTGTGATGTCCTAATGGGGTAAAATGTACTACTATTTCTAGCTCTTCCCTCTCAACAAGGTTATGGTGAGCATTGACACTGTTAAACGAACCCTAGACAGTATGGCAAGTGTGTGGGTCAGACAGGCCCAGTTCAAATGTGTAGGACACCTGAACACACATGCGTGACCCTTTTCGATCAAGCTTCTTAGTTACAGCGACTGTTGGCTTTAGCGCCTCTAGCAACTGTCATATCCATTAATGTGGGCGCATATTTCCGGATTGTTCCGGAACTAATTGTTTGTTCACTGGTGTTTCAAATTTGTCAGTGAGGGCCATTTTAATTGATTACCACTGGCTCAGGAAAGGATCAAGTTTGGGGAAACCCGATTTCAGTGAAATTGAAACCTCGACTAAGCCTGAGTTACAGTTAAGTGATGTCATTTCAGCCCAGTAGCAATGTGTTGACCACATCACACATTGAGCACGGATTGATTTATAAA